ATCATCCACTCTCTTTGTTAACCGCATTGCAGATTAAATTCTCCATTGCGCCACCAGCGAGTGCGGAGAGAATTAAAGAGCCGGTAGTCAGAAAAATGTAAATTTTGCAGGAGAGAAAGAGAGAGCGAGCACTTTCCGGCGCGGTTATTAAGCGAATATAATAATTTCACAGAGCACATGTGAGCCGACCTCTAATTGGTCCAAGCACTCTTTCATCATCGCCCGCTATTACCATATTACATGTATACGAATATTGCCGCAGGTTAACTTTGCCCCCACCCCCTAGCTTGATTTCTGTCCAGCACCCCTGTGTATCAAATTCGATGCACCCCCTCGGGCGCGATTTCCACCATACACTTTCTTTCTCTGTTATTTTCCTCTCTGCATGGGTGCTTCATTAGATTCTAGCGCGAGGGGTCGTGCTTGATGATTTACAATTTGTGACATTCGATACTCGGCACACACTGCCAATTGCATTTTTTTCTGTGTTATTTTTCCATGAGTGTGTGTGAAAGCGATCAAATGAAGAAATAATGCGATTTGTGTCGCGTTCTTTTGACAATTTCGGGGATTACCAGAGGCTGATATTGAATTTGCGTGCGTAATTACGGAATAATTATAATACCTTTCCGCGTATGTGAGTCTGTTTACTTGTTTAGCAGTTTAGTACACGAATTGATAGTGAAGTTTGAAAAAAATTTGCATGAAAAAGTGGATTAAATTTTTGTCATCAAAAATTTGATGCAGAAAGATATTTTACAAATACTAGATTTCAGAATCAGACATAAAAATGAAAAATTTTCAACTAATAAAATATAAAAGTATTTACTATTGCAAATTAAAATTTACATTTATTAAGTTAGTATTTTAAAAGTTTATTTTTATTAAATTTGATTAAAAATTATATGTTTTAATGTTTATTGCTAAACGAAGGTATTTTTATATTCATATTTGATCTCAAAATGGTATGTGATATTAATATTTTTAATAATGGAATTTAATAAAAAAATAATTAAGTACTAATTACTGCAGGGGTTTGTGTTCTTATAAAATAAATTAAATTTATTTTATTTAATAAATTTACTTGTAACAATAAGAGTGGGACACAAGAAGATTATTGTGAGCGTGGCGTAATCCAATGTGATTTTGACATGAATTAAAGAATAATTGAATTTCATTGATGAATTTTCGTACATTTTAAGAAGAATTTTTAAAAACAATTAATTTTAACAATATGGAGCTTCACATTGAAAAGTAATTTCTAAATGATATCTCGATCTCCCTAGTATCGAGAATCATTAGAATGCAATTATGCAAAAAATATTATTTTTGACCTTTAGAACACCCTCTCCTGTAACAATTTTCAATTGACATGATAATTTTTGAAGTGTTACAGTCGCAGAGTAAATTTAATTGGCCAAAGTTGACACTTCTGGGAATGGACGGGGCGGTATGAATTTCATGCACGGTTCGTCGGCTCGCGCGGCAATAATGTATCATTAATTGACCCTTTAACCAAGTGTAATTTGCAATTTAACGGCGTAATTCTGATAAATAAGGCGGCTCGCAGCAGCTGCCCGCTCAAGAGGCAAAATTACAGCGAGTGACGTCACGCGCGCGATGTAGATTGTCCGGGTCACGTGCCAATTTTTTGCACTTGATCCTAATCTAATTCAATCAGCAGACGCCTCTGGCGAAACACCACAAATAATAAGACCACATAATCTGGTCGGCCGAAGAATTGGCCCAAGAATTTACGGCCCCACACACATTGAGGAAAGGCCAGTTTATCCAATTATCGGACCCGCCAACTCGAAAGTGGATGCAAACAACCTTTTTGACTTTTGCCAGCCGAGCGGTCGTTCTCCAACACTGTAGCCTTCCATCAAGGTCAAATTTATTGAACGACTGCAAAAATCTGATATTTCTAATGAAAAATTTGAACAATATTGAAAATCTATATCTTCATGAATATAATCAAAAGATTAAACGAGTTTTTTTATTGATTGTTATCCAAGTTAACTTAAAAATTACTGCTTGAATCAAATAATAATAATTTAAATTAAATTATATATCCGCCACCAGTGAGTATAGTGGATAATGGTTTAAAATTTCATTGCATACAATTTCATAATTATCAAAAACCGTAAAAAACTGTCATTAGCTAAAAACTTTGTTGGTGACTCACGGAATGAATTTTTTAATTTCATTCTTATTTGCAACGATTTTTTTTTAATTTTTGGATTTACCTAACAACCTGTTTTATTTCAATATTTTTAGAAAATAATTTTCCATGTCAGATGCCACTGATGGAATTAACAGTGTACCTATTTGACAGGAAATGGGGCTCTTTTGAAATACACTCGCATGCATGCAAACGTGGAAAATCTAGTTTTGCGTTGATTTCCAAACACATTTTTCATTCCCGGAAAAAGGAACGCTCGCTACCGAGCTACTTCCTGCCATTCTGTTTTTATTTTTTAATTAAATTGAGGAAAAGCGACGGCGCATTTTGAAAGAGCAGCAACCAGTAGTCGCACACTGCTGATGATCACGCATGGTTTTACAAAATTCACACAAAATTATAGAGGCAGAAAGTGGGATTTCTTAAAATGTGTTCTACACCGCAACACACAAAACAAGTCAGTTTTTATTAGAACCATTTATTCAACAAATTAATAACATTAAAAAAATTATGTTTAACTTAATTGAAAAAGTTCAATTCTTTTACTATGGATTGATTTCTTATTTGTTTTTTAAATTTAAATCTTATTTTAATTAATTTATCAAAAATATTCATTTTCAATTTATGTCAAATTAATTCTCTTCTTTAATTTTAATGCTATCCCTAAATTATTATAAATTTGAGCTGTTTGCTGAACTGTGTACTATGTCAAAAGATACTTAAGTCGTGAGTCAGTACGTTCTGCAGATACGTAATGAATTATTATTATATTTATTTCATATTGCAATTGCTTTTTTTTTAATGGGAACATAACCGACTATATCAAGTATTAAATTGTGCTTTCAATGATTTTTTAGCTATGATGCAAATTAAGAAATTGTAGCTGAGTGAATCAATTTTTTATTTTCTGAAGGCAAATTAGCCAACAATTTTCACATATTTCCCCAATCTAGATAACACTACAATACAATAATATCTAAATAGCAATTGGACTTTTTGATTGTATAAAATATCTGAAAGATAATTATATTGATATGCATTACTCGAAACTAAAAAAATTTTTAAGCTATTAAAAAATACACCATGGAAAAATTTCAGCATGTAATCGCAACAATATCATCTCAAATGTTTGAAATGAACCACATATATAAAAATCAGTATTTCAAAACTGTCATTACAGCGAGGGAGAGACAAATAGTAATCATTATTATTTTGATAATATTTCAACTCCATATATCACTCATAAATATTTTTCGCATCAATTTGCGCGTGATGGTCGTGCACCGTATTTTTGCGACTGCCAGGGGTAATTTGCATCACACGGCCGAGGATTACGCGGTGAATAACAAATACACATTTATTCATAAATATATCTTTTTGTTCGCCGCTCTGCACGGTTCAAATGCGGATGATGCATCAATATTCGCGGTCGAGTGCATTTGGTAATGAATTTAGAATCGTTTAAAAATGTGTATACTGTGTGGTGCACGCCAGAGGCCTGCTCGCGCTTGATGATTTGCATCCATTAAAAATTCAGCCACTCACACAACAATCTGTTTACATCTGTGTGCGCGAGATTAAAAGTTGTTCCGCCTCTCTGTGTGTATTTTAAGTACCCTTCAATATTGATGGGCAATTCGATTACACGTCCATTAAACGAATACCAGTGGCTTGCTGGTTTTAGTCGATTGACCTTTTATTTATATATTTTCTGCTCCCTCTCTCTTTGTAGTTCAATTTTATGTGGTTGTTTTGTTTGATGATTTTGATGCAATTTTTATTGTGAATATAGTGGTTTATTGAAATGGGCAATCAGAACTATTATTATTTGAAACAAGAGGAGGATAAAACATTTTAAATTTTGAACAATGAAAATGCAAATGAATCTGAAAATAGTAAAAATTTCAATGATTTATTTTTATCAAAATTTTACAGTTGATTATTTAACTTTGTGACAAAAATCAAATCAATTTAAGGCAGCTTCATAAAATAGAAAGCTATAGTTTTAAATTAACAAAAGGGTAATGGAAAATACGGAAAATACAAAACCCTGTATCACCTCATCAATTTAGTTAAGTTCATAATTTTGATTTTGTTTTTATCAAATCAATCTTGTAATTTTTTGGATACAGTTTCCAGATCCTAATATTTACGGCTGAATTCAAATTAAAGAATGAGAATCTAAATAAAATGAACTTTAACTATGACAAAATGGCAACAGTAGAGAAATGGAAATGGAAATAAAAAAGATTTATTTTTAATGGAACTTTAAAATATAATAAATATCATAAATAAATCAGATGAGCTGTGTAATTCAAGATAATATATAAATGTTTTATTTGGGTGAAAAAGGATTTTGTAAAAATATCAAATGTAAAAAAATCATTTATTTTATAAAAAAATTATGAAAATTATGAAAAAAATATCACGAATATCACTCAAAACGTACAAAAGGTGTTGAATTCATAGTCATCGACTTTTATAATCAAGTCATTCTTAAAGGGTGTTTGATTTACAAGAAATTTACAATTATGCAAATTTTAGCTCACTTAAAAGATTACTTGTAATTTAAAGGAACTTAAGAATAGATTTTTTTTTAAACTATAAAACACACGCTTCAAGTAAATTTCTTGATTGTGTAAAACAAATAATTTATTAAAATTAGAAACAATACCTAAAACTTTCTCATATTACATGATAAATTAACTTTAAAAGTACTTTATATTTAACAACAAATATGAAGACTTCACTTTTATATTTTACTTTTAATTTGTGTTAATAATCTTTTTAACTTAAAAATTGCAATTTGTTTCAGATCGCAGGCACACAGCAACGCAATATGTTCTGCTACCACTGTCCACCCTCACTGCACCCGAGTTCGGCGCCTCGGCTGCCCACCCTGGAGTACCCTTTCACGCCGACGCACCCTTGTGAGTAAAGTTTGATTTCTCCTTTGCAGAGGAGAAAGAGAGAACAAATGATGGAATTGTGCCGAGGCATCAGTTGGATCGAGTTTGTGGGCAGACACGTGACGCGGCTGATCCTGCACCTAATGAATTTATCCAAACACCTCTAACTAGGCGGCAACTAGGTCTATTCCCGGCTCTCTCGGCGCAACTTGCACTAATGCCAATTACGCCGGCCTACCTAATCAATCAATTAGCTCGCGCACAGCTTCATCATCGCCGGACAAAAGTGATTAAAAGTTGGAGCAGCGAATTAGCCGCGGTGCGCACGCCAGATCCACTCGCTCTAATTCAATGTGCCATTAGCGCCACCTCCACCAGACACACACCCCTAACTGCGTAGACTCAATAATGCAATTTACCATTTTTTGCTCTTCTCAAATAGAACTCACCAAGTTGCGCCTCTGCAGTCTATTCCAACGAGAGAGCTCAAATTATTTATTAGCAACAAATATTTTTAACTTTTAACAAAGTCTCAGATCAGCAAAACATTGGCATGACAATTTATATCATCTGTATTAATAAGATGCAGCTTTTAAAAGGTAACTTATATTCAGACATTAGTGGATACCTTTGATTAATCTCAAGAAATTAATTTTTGAAAATTTACATTGTTTCTTATGGAAATTTTCTTATCTGATCAAAATTTATAAAAATTTCATCAAACCAAACACGTGTTACACATGATTGATTGACCATAATTATTTTTTATAGAATTTTCTTTTTGAATTCGCTTTAAATTGACAAGTCAGATAGCTAAATTTACTGCCAATGAACAGGCTGTGTTTGCAATCAGAAAAAGGCCAACTTGAAATCACAAAAAAAAAAAATTTAAATTATATTTTAATCAGGCCAAAATTCATAAACCAATTTATACAAAGGATACAAAGGATACAAAGGATACAAAGACAATAACAGCAAGATGGAATTTTTAATTCATTAAACTCATTAAAAAAAGGGCACAGGCTGACAAGACTTTGTCTTGGCCTGACAAAAAAAAATTAATTTAGTAACTAATTTATTTAACCTTTAGCTTAATGTAGTATTTAGTGTAAGTTAAAAAGTTTCTTATTAAAAAATTAATATTTTTTTTTTAAATAGCAATGGAATATCAATTTATGTTGTACTATTTATACCAACAAATATTTTTTTTTTAAATTAAAGATCATATAAGATCAATCATAAATTAAATCAAATCAATCATTCCCATCCAATCAGAAATATTATCTTTCCTGAATCCCCATCAAAGGTTATTATAAATTCTTACTCTGCTCAAACACTTTGAAGGACAAATTTGTTAATAAAAAAATTTTGATTTCCATTGGTTCATTCCGCTAAAAGTAATTCGAGCGCGATTAGAAACTTCTAATTCATCGTCGTTAACGCGCTAATAAATTAAGCGCGAGCACAGGTGTGCAATCTCAACTGCAGCGCCCAGGTGGCGTCAAGTTTTAATTGTGTAAATAATAACACTCGTCTTTTGCATCGAATAATTAACAAGCTTGCGCCGTAAATTATGCACTCCTCCTCCTCCTCCTGCCACCGCGACAAAACTTTGCATTAAACGCGCAGCAATCGTCGTAATAAAATCCACACCGCTCTGAATTATGGGAAAACTTTGGTTCGACCACATGAGACGCACTTCATGTGAAAAATAAATATGAAGATTTCGCCGAGGATCAGGTTGCGTCGATCTGAGAATTGAATTGCACCCGAATGAAATTAGCCGCGGGCACACACGGGGTATCTGGGGTGCAACTGTAATTCCATTTGACGTCATTTTCAGATTTCTTTCGCATTCGTATCAATTTTCCCCCGCGGCCGAGGCTCATCACCATCAGTTTGCATTTTCCAAGCATCTGCGCGCGAATTCCTTTGGGGATTTCTCTCTCCGCCCTTTTCCTCGTTCTCTCTCCGCACCGACGCTAATTTTTAACAACCCCTATCTCTTCACCCCTTCGCGCGGGCAGCCGTCAAAGAGCACCCTGAGGGTGGAATACGCGTGTGTTTGAGCATGTTCGGTGGAAATTTGACACCTCTTGAATATGTGATTATTATTTTTTTTTTAAACTAATCTAGTTAATTATTTAATGTAATTTGATTTTAATCTGATCATAAAACCTGTTTGGTTCATTTTCACAAATGGAATTACATGTAGAAATTTGCTACTTTTTAATCATCTATATTTTTAAAAGAACAAAATTACAACTCACAGCTTCAGTTTGTCTTGTATAACCTATAGGCTGGAAAATTTTAAGTGTTAATTTGAAGCTGGAGTTTTTTATAATATAACTTTTATTCAAGTATTAGATCTTCAGAAATTATTAATGGTGGAAAGAAGATGATACAATTTCAATTAAAAAAAAAAAAATAAGTCTGTCAATTATTTTTTTCAGTAAAAAAATGTGGAGTTACATTCACTCAATTCTCCAGCTAAGAATGAGCTTCCTTATTATTTTCAAATACGCGGATTTCGTTCTAGACTTTTTTTCTTGAATTGATTCAAGAATATGAAAATTTTACCCCAAATTATCTTGAAACCACTCATTGAAAAATTTTTAAACTGGGTGAAGGAGTTTTCAAGAGTCATAATTCTTGCCCCACACAAAATCAAGGTATTTAAGTATAAAAAAAACAAGCTCTATCAAAAGAATTTTCAATTCACAAGAATTAAATTTTAAATAAAAAACTTGATGCGACGGAAGTTGTTGAAAATGTATTTATGAACCTTACAAAGAATTTCTTAATACTTTCCTCAATTTTCTTCGGTTGATGGAAAAATGCGCATTACAGAATAAAACGTTTTTGATCAGTTTAATCATTGCGAGAGCCAATACAAAGAAGCTGCCGAGCAATTCGCTCAGCAAGCCTCAAGAGACGGCAGCTCGCCATAAATACAATAACCGAGAAGTGAAGCGAGCGCAGGATACAAGAGACGTTCCATAAAACATGAAGTGGCGCTTCTTCGCAACCCCTTTGTGCGCGGCCGAGATGGAAAAGCCATCAGAGCAGCATCGCAAAATCCTTAATACATTACAGCGCCTCCCTTAATGGTTATGGTATTAGCCTCTAATTACCCTAATAGACTTCACTATTCATTTAACAGCGTCATTTAATTATTCATAATGGTTTTATAATCCTCTTTCGATGCAGCGTTGCCAAAACACGTCTCATGGTCGGTCGCAATCACCGACGGCACAGCAGATGGATCTCCTTGCCAACCCACAAAATGCTCAAACGGGCAAACATAAAATATAAATTTTTTTGAACCAAAGGTGGTAGTAAAATCTATTTCAAATGAGAAAATAATTACATTTAGATTATTGAAAAGAAAAAGAATTAAATTTAATTAAAGGCAATCAATTACTTTATTATATTTTTTAATTCTTATTTTTATCAATAGTATAATTATCATGGTTTAAGTTGAAATTAGTATTGTAGGATTTTATCCTACTGTGAGTTAAGATTGATTCGAAATCCAAAGTCGTCAGAAAAATCTCGAAGATTGAGGGGTGAAAAAAAAGTAGATATATATTTTCCACCTTATTCAGAACATAAATAAATTTTAATCAATTTAATTATAATGCAGCCGAAATTTTTCTGAACCAAACTTCATGTGATTATCGAGCTAGCTTTTTGCACCTGTTTATATTTGGAAAGCCTTTGTTTTGTTAACTGGCGAAATTATGTCATTTTTTGTTTGTAATTTGCAATGCCGCCTCTTTAATTTCATTTCGCGAGGATTTCAACTGAAAAGCGGCAGGCAATGATAATCCTATTAGCGCTGCTATGTTCACTTGCGCTCTCTCTCGTCGGTAGGTGCGCGCGCGAGAGAGGATTTCTCCTCCCGCTCTCATGTCATCGCAGGGTATAATCTCGCGCTGCATTCTCTATAATGCATAACTTAATTACATTAACATTATTTAAGCCCCAACACTAATCTGGTGCTGCTCTCTGTTCTTTGACAGACACGAGCTACTCGTACCACCCGGCCATCCACGAGGACACCTTTGTCAGGCGAAAGCAACGTCGCAACAGGACCACATTTACGCTGCAGCAGGTAAAGAACTACACATAATTTAATTTTACAATATTTTATAGTCAATATAAAAATAAACCTTATATTAATATAAAATTAAGTTTCTTTATAAAGTACTAGATTTTCTAACATGTTTATCATTATTACAATTTTAATTTCATTTTTATCTTTTTTATCACAAAACAAAAATTAAATGTTTTGTAAGAACTTTCTCACAATTTTTATTGCAGTTTATTTATGTATATAAATTGTGTTGATTTCAAACGGTATCACAATACTACATTCAATATGAATTTTCTACTTCCACTGATTGTTTGATCAAGTTTGCATATCATTGCTCTTATTTCAAATACTAATTATTGAATTCTCTAATGTATTGTAAATAAATCGATATTTTGCTGTTAATTGAAAGTAAAATCCAATATGTTTTTAAATGTTTTAAAATTTTAAATATTTGTGTCATGTATTATTAATATAATCATAATCAGTGATGTCCTCTTCAGAAGTCTTGCTTTCAACGTTTTTCTTTCCCAAGGGAATCCCTGGTTTCGCATTTTCTTTTTAGGATTCATATTTTCCATGTTTTTTTTCTTTGTAATATTTTTTATCCTATTTTATTTTATCTATTTTTGGAATAAATTTTAACGATATATGATACCAGAGAATAAATTTTGGAAAATAAACTTTAAAAATGTATTGCCGTATTTTATTCGTTCGGTTTTTACTTATTTTGTCTTTTAAATAAAATTTTTCTTTATTATTTCAAACGTATTGAAAAGAAGTTAAGAGGTAAAGAATCTAAAACTTAATTGTTAATCGATTTGTTAAATCAAAGCGCTTTGTTCTTTAATCAGTTTGCTGAGCGCTTGAGTGCCGTGTGTATCATAGCAGGGTGGGGAGAGAGTGAGAAGCAGCAAATGTCATCTGGCTAATGACATTGTTTGCTCGCGCTCGCTGCGTTTGTTCTGCGGCCTGAATAATTAATAAAGCAGTGTACTTACAGCCGGTAATCTTGTTACAGTTGGAGGAATTAGAGAACGCGTTCGCTCAAACGCACTACCCGGACGTGTTTACCAGGGAGGATTTGGCCATGAAAATCAATTTGACCGAGGCCAGGGTGCAGGTAAGGAGAGATTTTCTTATTTTGAAAGTTCAAACTTTGGTCACTTGAAATCGAAATATGTGAGTTATAATTCCAGGAAGTTGGAAGTTGAAGAAACAAAGAAATCGGTTAACTTTGGAAGAAAAGCCAAAATAGTTTTTTTTTTCATCCATTGATGTTTCCAAAAGGTCTCCCAGTTTCAATTAGTGGAAACTATCAAAAGTTGAACTCATTCAGCAAGAAATTGGTATAAAAATTTCTGAAGCTAATTGATTTAAAATTTTTGTGTTAATTTAAAACCATGCATCTGGTCATTTCATTAAAATATTTTTCCATATTTAAAACCAAATTATGCTCCTCTTCCTGATTATGATTTTTTAAATGATGTTGGATTAAATTTGCTCAGTTGATTCTTAGTAAAGCAGGCTTAAATTTTAGAGCTATGCTTCTTTTTTAACGTAATTTTTCAAATGTAGCTAGATGAAATTTAATAACCGACGATTGGCTACATTTTCTTTAAAACAAAATATATGCAATTTGCTTCACTTCACTGACGAGCGGGTTGCGTTCTTACTTAACAGGGGCTTAATTTCTTCGCGATTTAATTACAAAAAACCTCAGATTTTATTGTTATTAAAATTAGAATATTTTTCACGTTTAAATGAAGAAAAAAAATGATAAAACTGCCCATATTTGGGTCATAATTGGCTAAAAAAAACTGTCGTTTTTTGTACATAAAAAACTTGGTTGCCTGAAATGGCCATTAATTAAAATATCAATTTCTTGCATAATTAATTTTAAAATTAATACCAGTTTGTAATTTTTCTTTTTGTAAACTGGAAAAAATTATGAGACCAGACGTTCAGCACTCGCAATCGAAATATCAGATGTCTGCGCTGTCAATTCGAAAATATTTGCTTGTCAAAATTACTCTCACGGGGGCACCTCTTGGCCAGTCCGCAAGTGTTCGATGTGCGCCGAGCAAGTAATAAGTAATTGGGCAAACGGTGACGGGCGCTGCTGTGCGAAATGGTGATTGACCGCACGTGCTCCTTCGGCTGACAGGGGATAAATTCGCTGTCATCGGACGCGCACGTCTGCGGTGATAGGATTAGAGGCGAATATCGCGCCGACCATTACTCTCGCGCGCGCACTTTTGACAGGCCTCGCGCTAATCCAGATGTAATTACTCCGAGGTCGAACCGTCATCTGCGCGCCACTCACAACATCCTTAATGGCTGAATTAATCCTATCAGAGATGTGCACGAGGCTTTCGCGTATACTGCTGGGGAGGACAAACGAACTTGTACATTGAAAATAAGTCAGATAATATTTTAGGAATCAATATCATGCAAAATTGTAAAGTATTTTATTTAAAGTTAATTACAGAAATTTATCAACCAAATCTTATTTTTTAATTGTGTTTTAAAACATTTATAAAATGATGATAAATCTTTTTCAGTTATTAATGGAAATGCAATGTTTATAAACATTTAACAGCAACAACATTTTGTTAAAATAAATCAAATATACTGATTCAGGTTTGAGAGCTGATTATAGTATTACATAAAATATAGCAATCTTAAAAGAATTTAGGCTGCTGGCTGCTTTTGGTTATTTATTTATTATCAAACATCTCTCATCTCAAACAGATTAATTTGATAAGTCTCTCATTGTAGCGGAAATCAAATTCGCAGAAATAATTCTAATATAATAATACAAGTATCATAAAAGGAATCAGTTGCTTCCAAATTAATTATGTTTAATTGTAAATAATATTTTATAACATTAAGTTAATTAATGTAATAATTTTACATTCAAATTAATGATTGAAGATTTTTCTACTGCTTGAAACGTCAAAAATCATTAAAAGCTGTTAAATTTTCTCGTTAAAATAAATTTAATAAACAGAGTAAGTGACACCTTCTCAAAGCCAGATTGAATTTGACAAAATGTGCACACAACCCTAAAAAGTATAAATGTTTTAAATTTTGGCCACTCAACAGACCAAACAGACTAAAATAGAAACTCAATTTGCTAGGTAATTTTAACGGAAACTTTCAAGTCTAGTGACAATTGAAATTTTGATCCTCTCAATATAAATCGTTTATCATGGAAAGCTCAAAATTTAATTATTCATGGAACTCGTCACAGTTTATCGATTGACAGATGCATCAAATTAATAAAGCTTGCATATTTACAGAAGGGAGTGAATTTGTCGAGCAAATTAGACCAATTTTCGGGCACTCCACCTTCATTTTGTATTTAGAAACGGCGCTCAATCCAATTTGGAGGGCGAGTGCGATGAGCGATAAATTATTGCCGTGTGAATGAATGCGAAGCCATGCGCCATGCGGCGCCTCAGTTGCTAGGCAACCCGCGTGACGCCACGCGCATTGGTTCCAACCCTTGGCTCTTAGGGGAGGCGCGCACACGTGGCTGCATCATAGTCAGTTGGAAACAGAAGAGGGTGTTTTTTTCTCTCCTGACTTGGTAAACGATCCGATTGAAAGAAAATATTCAAAATTTGTTATAACATTGAAATTCAAAAGTTAAAATTAATGAGAATTGAAAAGAATCACAATATTTTGATATTATAGATCAATAAAATGAAAAAAATATATAGAATTCAATACTTTTATAAATATATTTGAAAAATAAAACTTTCTTTTGTTCTTCAAAAATTAATTGAATTACGAGAAAAAAAAATATTCACATTTTTAATTCTTTTTTGGAACCCAAAATATTATTGAACAATAAATTTCAATATTTTGTGATTTTCTTCTCGTAATTCAGCTTGATCTTTGGTTATTTAACTTAAGAAATATGACAGCAGATGACTTTTGTAAGTCGTCACCTAATAATGGAAAATGAATTTTCACACTGAAATGCAAAAATTTCCAAATAAATTTTTAACTTTAAAAACCAAATTCCACTGATTGTGCGAGAAGATCAATGGTTCGCTTTGATTGCATTTTGGTTGGCGAATTTTAGGTTTCGTGTGCGACAAAGGCCGCCGCTCTGATCAGGCGTGCAAACAATAAATTGACCCGAGGCTCGCGCCCAAATCGCCGCCAACTATAATAAATTACCCGGACTCAGTCCGTCGGAGGCAGCGAGGGACAAGCAAAGAGTTGCTGCTCTCCGCTTTCTTTGAACTCGGCGAGCTCAGCAAAACTCAATTTGAGCGTTCCCTGGGGCCGTTACTTTGGAGAGCAGCTCGCAAATAACGATTGCGAGAGCTGCTTGTTATTCGCTGCTTCTTTGTGTTTCACCCCGGCTTTGAAATTTGCACCACTAATCAATCCGACATATGAGACGAGAGCCTGCAATTTTGAATTTTGATTTGTCAGTAATATTCAATTGTTTAAATTTATTTATTGATAATCAATTTTTTTCAATTAAAAGGTGGCTTTATAGGCTTAAATTTTTAGTAAAAAAGGAAGTTTTCTAGAATTATTTTGTTCAAATTCTTTTAATTTATTAATTCAGGGATATTTTAATTTTATTTTTGTGCTTAAATTTACGGCGACATCTGATTATAAGAGAAGATAAAAACCTTCACAATAAAAATTATCCCTTACAAAAACAACATCTCTTTTCCAAAAGAAGGAAATTATGAAATATACTTCATTTAAAAATAATGTAATTAATCCAGAAATTTGAAATGAAAATCCTTTGCTCAAAAACGTATTTTTCACAAAAATCGAATTACATATTAATATGAATTTGCACAGATCCATTACTAGAATGAACTTTTGGAGGAAATTAAATTTTGGCTTGGATTCCTCAGATAAAATTTTATCGATTTTCCTTGAGGATAAGGAAATTTTTTTTCTAAAGAGAGAGAGAAAGAGAGGCGGAGGAAAAATGCAATTTATGCCAGAGTGATTGATATAGGAGAGAGAAAAGTAGATTCGCAGTCCAACTCGCCTCTTTTTGCCTCTCCACTCACTCCATCTCGCATTCGCGATGGAAAACTTTGTAAAATAAATTACCTTTTTATTCAATCCTGTCTGTCGGTATTTGTAATGTAGTCATGTTATAATCCACCTTTTTCCATCCTTGGGGAAAAGTAGCGGCGGCGCGCGCGCCAGAGGATGGAGTGATCTGATAAGCAAATGCAGAACGACGCCAAACACGCGCGCTCTCTTTTCAGATTCAAAGTGAGAATTTCCACTTCCATCGTCAAAACTCGAAATACAGAAGAATATCATGAAAGTAAAGGAAGAAAATTATTTTCTGTGAAACTTAATGAAATTTAATTTAACTCTATAATTTATTCAAGGATTTTGAATTTCAAAGTATATTTCCTTAATTTATAGCAAAAAGTTATTTTGAAAATGTCAAAACTGTTGGATATAAAGTTTTCTATTCCCCATAGAAGAAACAAAAAAGGAAAAATCTCCAAAATTAATAAACATTAATAACATTTTTCTTTAAAAAATGATTGTAAACATTTCACAATAAATTTGAATTTTCTACAAGTCTCCATGTGTAGCTGACATTTTTCAACCGTATTTATTTGCACAAAGGCTAAAATAATGAAAATAATTATGTATTTAAAAACTTATTTACAGTTCATTTCTTCACTTGATAATTTATTTGCATAATTGCCGAAATTGAAGAAATTAACAATTCCTCTCTAATTAAAGCCGCGCCTTTTTTACAGACAGAAATAACGGTCTGCAAACAACACGGACGAAAAGTTTGCCGGAATAACAAAGTTAAAAAAATCTCATAAAAATTGCGTAAAGCAAGGGTGTGAGATGGTGGTAAATATTTTAGCGACTTTTGCCGTGGCGTAAGTACTTTATGTATATGCACGTTGGGTCTCGCGAGAGCGCGAGAACGCCAGCCAGCATTTCATCCTTAAGGCCTTTTGGGGATTTCAAAGCAAAATAAACAAATTAAAGTTAAGCTGGGCGCATTAAAATTTCAACAAAAAGACGCGCACTCCTTTAATTAATATTCAGCTAATTTGCAAAGATTTTTTTGCCCGAGGCGACACGCCCGGGCCC